AAAAAAAAAAAAAATACCTGCATTACTGGACAGTGGCGGTATAGCTAATGCTCTGTCCAAAAAAAATTCACCGCTTCTTTAATTAATAAATATATAAATTTATAAACCTATTCGTACATTTCCAATTTATATATTATCATCATCATCATCACGAAGAACGTTTTATTCTACGCTATTCAAATAAAAATAACATTTCGGACGGGTCCTGTTTTCCTGTTCTTCCTTGTCAACAATATATTGGCGTGGCAAACTTTATATAATTTTTAATTAATATAATTTTAATATTGTAATTAAATTTTGTTCCGAAACTTGTTTGTTGTTGTTGAAAGAGTCCTCCTCTTGTCAAAAGAAGGAACCCCAACCGAACTCCACCCCTGCATACCGCCATACTAAAAAATTAAATTAAAAGAGATTCATAATGTTAAGTCGTCGGTAAGGTAGAAAAAGGTTTTTTAATGATTAAGATTTAAGATTTTTTCGGCCTTTCCTACCTTCCACGGGGCAATTTGCCCCAACTCATTTTTAATATCATTTTTTTCCGAATGTACGAGATTTTTCGTTTCAAGTGTTGCATCGACCATTATTTTATTACTTTAACATAAACCATATCGATTGCTGGTTAGTATACCTCGACATTCTACACTTGGGCAGCTGAAGATGGACTTTATAGCCCGAAATATAAATTTCTGAATACTTTCATCTACCACCAAATCCTAGGTTTCTTTAACTTAGATTAAAAGATTGTGTGAGAAACGACTTCCAAATAATTTTAAATTGTAGCTGAAAACGGCCATTTTCTTATTTCTTATCCTTCTACTACTACTACTGCCAGAATCTTTATTAAAGATAATACATAGTTATTTATTAACTTATTAATATGACGAATTTTTCATCTCAAATACATCTGTGATTTTATATATATATTGGGTTGTCCGGAAAATAATGCAGGATTTTGGTATTAAACAAAAAAAAAGAAACTAGTTACTTTAAAGCAATGTTCTTTAATCAAAATAATTTCCCATACTCTCAATACATTTCTCCCAACGTGTTGGTAACTTATTAATTCCGTCTGAGTAGAATTCAGAATTTTTAGAATTGATAAAGTCAATAAATGCATTTTCCAGTTCCGTTTGATTTTTGAATATTATGTGTTGTAAGTAGTGGTCCAGGTGTCTAAAAAAATGGTAGTCAGTAGGCGAGAGGTCCGGAGAGTAGGGTGGGTGAGGCAAAGTTTCATAGCCAAGCTCCAATAATTTTTGTGACGTTACACGTGACACATGTGGTCGAGCGTTGTCATGCAACAAAATGGGCCCTTTCCGATTGACCAAAGAGGGCTTCATTACTGCCAATTTCTGATGCATGGTATTAATTTGGTTACAGTATGATTCAGCATTGATGGTTTCGCCAGGATTTAAGAAGCTGTAGTGTATTAAACCAAATGAAGCCCACCATACCGTAACCATTACCTTTTTTTGATGAGTTGGGGGCTTTGGAAAATGTATTGGAGCTTCTCCTTTGTCGAGCCACTGTCCAGAACGTCTAGTGTTATCGTAGAGAATCCACTTTTCGTCACATGTAACAATTCTGGCCAGAAATGGGTCATTTTTGTTTCGACAAAGAAGTGATGCACAAACATCAAAGCGCTGATTTTTTTGGCGATCGTTTAATGAGTGTGGAACCCAATTTTCGAGTTTTTTCACTTTTCCAATCGCCTTGAGGTGGTCAGCGACGGTCGTTTTACTGACTTTGAGTTGCTCTGCAAGTTCTCGAACAGTTGTTTTGGGGTTTTCTTCCACCACTGATCGCAGAACATCATCATTAAGAGAGGAAGGCCTTCCACGACCTTCTTCATCTTCAAGGCTGAAATCTCCCTCCCGAAATTTTTTAAACCACCTTTGCACAGTGCACTCATTAACACAACCCTCGCCCCAGACTTGGTTAATGTTTCTAGCCGTTTGGGCTCCGCTTCGGCCGAGTTTAAACTCGTAAAAGAAAATCGTACGAAATTCTCGCTTTGACATTATAAGGATGACTGAATTATTTCCAAGTAGCGGAATGCTACAGAGGTAAACAAACAATATCATTTGGAAGAGGATTAATAAGTGTTGACATTCATACAAATGAGTAATCCTGTAAACGTAAACAGAATATTTTATATAGATTTTTTTTAATGAAAACTTAAAATCCTGCATTATTTTCCGGACAACCCAATAGTTTCGGGGTATAGTATACTGCGCCATTTAAGAGCTATTGTACCCCCGCGCTCTGCCTAAGCACATCGGTGCGTCCTACTTCATCAAGAAACTTAATCAACAGGCTCGGTTTCAGTGGTTCAAGCTCTTCTATGGTCACATCATACATCCCAAAACATTTCCTACTGCGGGCTAGTGTAGCTCCACAGTTTGTTAGTAGATGTGTTGTTGTCTCTTCTGCAGAATATGCAAGTGCCATTTTGGAATATTCCAATCTTCTTTAAGTGCCCATATAACTCGCAGTGTCCTGTTAGGAATCCTATTAGGATTCGCAGTTTATTCCTGCTTCCCTTGACCCATTTTGTAATTTCTTTCCTTCCAAAATTGGTTAGAAGATTCTTGGATTGTGTGTGTCCAATGAGTGAATTCCATAGTTTCCTTTTGTTTCCTCATTTTCTTTTTGTCCTTCTGTCTGAGATACTCGTTAATAGTGTGGGTTCCTATGTAACAGAAGGGTTCAGGTCCTATCAGCGGTGTAGCAGCCCCTTTTCCTGCAAGGGTGTCCGCTTTCTCGTTGCCTTCTACTCCCATGTGTCCTGGGGCCCAGCAGAGGCTGACTTTATTCTTCGTACCTAATATGTTTAGTTTGGTTTTGTAGTTCAGCACCATCCTTGAACTAATGATATTTGAGCTTAGTGCTTTGATAGCTGCTTGGCTATCTGGCATGATATCTATATTCTTGTTTTTGTACCCTTTACTTAGGTTGAGTTGGGTACATCTTTCGATTGCATGAATCTCAGCTTGGGAGATACTGGTGTATTTTCCCATGGGGTCTGAGTATTTGGTTCCAGGTCCAAATACTCCTGCTACTGTACCTTCTTGTGTTCTAGATCCATCTGTATACCAAAGGATGGTGCCATTCTTGAATGAGGTGTTTCCCTCTCGTTCCCATTCTTTTTTGGTACCTAGGTTTATTCTGAAGTTTTGGTTAATTTCAAACATCCTGTTCATGTCATTGAAAACAATTTAATTCTAATTATTGAAAAATGCTTCAAAATGAGTTTCTATAGATCTAACTCTTATATGACTTTCAATTATAACATAAACAGCTCCTATTGCTGTTTAATATTATTGAGCACCATTTTATTGAATATTTTTATTAATGATATTATTGGATGTTTTATTCCTAGTCACTTTAAGCTTTTTGCTGATGATCTCATGGTCTTTAAGTGATAAAATCTATTGAAGACTGCATATCGTTTCAGCAAGTAGCTAAAGAAATTAAGTCCTCTTAATTGATTATGTCCTCTTGATAAATACAAATCTGTGATACCGGACTAAAAGTTTTAAACAATTCACTAGTTTTCATGGTCCGCTTTACCAATTAAAATCTTTCAATTAATTAAGGTTTTTAGTTGAGATAAAAAAATCAGTGTCAGTAGCGTGATTCGAACCCACGATCTTCGGCTAGATAAATGAATTAGACCTTCACTAAAGCTCTCCATTTGTCGCCGAGAATCAAATAGACTACACGACATTTGAAAAATGGCAAAGAGGAGAGAAAATTCAAAAGATGGGGGGTTGAGATGGGAAGTTAATGTCCGAGTGGATCGAAATCACGATAGCTCAAGTGGTAGAGTAGCGGCGTGATAGCCGAAGGTCGTGGGTTCGAATCCCGCTCGTGACACTGACTTTTTTTTATCTCAACTAAAAACCTTAATTAATTGGAAGGTTTTAAAGAACGTTAAGATTATAGATGTTTTTGACTTCTCACTTTCCTTCAATATACACATTGAAACTATTATAAATAAAAGTATAAAACTTTTGGGTTCTTGGGAAGAAATACAAAGAATTTAATAATGTAACTGTTTAAAGATGTCGTATTTTACATTAATAAAGCATGGTCACCATATTATCAAAAATATATTCACAGAATTGAATATTTGTAAATAGATTTCTTAAATATGGTGCCTATAAACTAGGTCAAAAAATCGACTTTCTTTTGATTATATTAGAGATGTTATGAACATTAGTACATATATNTGGGACTAATTAATTATTCTTTTTATCTAAGGTTTTGGTTGAGATAAAAATGCAAGCGTCACGAGCGGGATTCGAACCCACGACCTTCGACTAAATACGCCGCTGCGCTAGCCACTCGAGCTACCTTGATTTCGATCCACTCAGACACCAAATGGAAGGCCGTGGGTTCGAATCCCGCTCGTGACACTAGCTTTTTCATCTCAACCAAAACCTTAGATAAAAAGTAGAATTAATTTAAATTAGTACAGTAAATGAGCGGAAGGTTGCAATTGATGTTATTTTTCTTGGAAAATTATTATGTAATTTGATTTGTTGTTCTTAATTACTAGCAAAGGTTCATTGTATCAATAGGAAAAAAAGATTTACCAAACTACAACCCAAATTGTAAAACTACTTATTTGACCAAATTTGTTGAAATGCTTGAAAAACACAGGGCCCTGAAGATGATCTCAATAAAGATCGAAACGTTGGTATGATAAAGAAATGTTCTGAAACCTACATCACACCAGACAGCATCTCACGATTTCTGAATAATTACTATTTATTTGATTAATGCTCCGCTAACTAGAATATGTTCTAGGCCCTGGGACTATTGTTATTAACCTCGATCAGTTTTGCACTTCTTCAAGAAAATTCAAATAGTTGTAAAAAAATGTAATATGTACCATATGCATATGTGTAATTAATTATTGGCTATTTGCCGTTAAATAAATACATGTAATGGTACATATAGGCGTTAAATGGATTGGCCGTAATAAATGGCCTTTAGATTTTTGTATTAGATAAAATTGGCATATAATAATGAAAGAGAAAATCACCTAATGTTTGTTTATTAAGACCTATTCGATAGTCTTGTCGGTATTTATACTTTATGCGTAATTTTTAAACACTCGTTGTTTTATCTTTTATACAAAAAAAATTAGGTTGTGTTCGTGAGTAAAGTTGAGTTGTAAATTCTTCATTCCCTCCTTTCTTTGATTTATGCATGTAATAAAGTTTATTCTATTTTACCCGTTCATTTGAGATTTGCGAGTTCGGTTCGTGTAAGACTTAAAAGGTTTTGAAGGATTCTAATAGATTTCAAGTTCGGGTAATTTTTAACGAGCCAAAATTTTGCACTCGTTTTTGTAGGTTTTACGAAACGAAGTAAACAATTAATTCATAAATAACGACTTTTCTTTTAGTCGTTTGAAACATTCGGTCTTACTCGGTGTCTTTTTTTTTCTGAAGACAAAGAAAATCTAATAAACGGGCTAGTTTCCAACGCTGTAAGTTCGGTCCTTTCTCTCAACTTCTAGCACCGAGAAACTCGTGTTTCCAGCTGTTTTCTCGCAAACAATTGAATCTGTTTACAAACATATGTGATTATATCTATCGATCGACCGTTTGGATATCTTGTAACAAGTTCGAAAACTTTGCAAGCTCAAAGTAATGCCGAGGAGAAGGAAATCCGAGCTGAGCCCTCCGGAAGAATATGACGAAGATTATTGCCCGCTCTCCTTGGTCGACTTGCTCAAACAAGGTAATCCCATAACACTCCGTTCTTCTGTCAGACGTTCAGTTCACTCCTTCGATCGGGTAGATTTAAATCCTTCCACAACTGCAAAATAGAAAACAGGATATTTTTTACTTTAGAAAAGCTGATCAAATACGTTCTATTATGTTTTCATTTTATTAAAATAATGAACAATAATCGAGTAGGTTTTAATGTTTCGTTCGACGACTGTCACATTGGGTCCTTTGTTGTTAATAATTCTCAATAAGACCGATTAGTGTATTAAGTATTTATTGCATGGGAACATAAACATTCCGTCGGCCTGACTGAAGGCCGGTTTGCTTGACGAGAATAGGGTTTGCTGATCATAGCTAGTGATTTCTTCCTTGCAGGGGACACCTTGTGAACCGGAGAAAGACTACGCGCGGCCAAGATGTCCCCCAAGGAAGAATCTTCCCTCGTATCCTGTGAGTATAAGAAAAAAATAACATTGGCCTCTGGAAACCCCTATCACTTTAGGAAACAAGAAGTATCTAACAAAGTTAAAGATTAATGGCCGATTAACAATTAAGGAGTGTTTATTGAATGTCGTTCCTTGAATTACCCGAATTATTGGCTGTAAAGAGACGGTTTAGCAATATTAAACTAATATCCTTCTTTTCAAAACTTATGTAAAATGTTTTAAATAGTTCACTAGTTTTTGTGGTCCGCTTGACCAATTAATATCTTTCAATTAATTAAGGTTTTTAGTTGAGATAAAAAAGTCAGTGTCACGAGCGGGATTCGAACCCACGATCTTCGACTAGATACGCCGCTGCTCTACCTCTTGAGCTATCGTGACCTCGATCCACTCGGACACCAACTTTCCATCTCAGCCCCACCTTTTGAATTTTCCCTCCTTTTTGCCATTTTTCAAATGTCGTGTAATCTATTTGATTCTCGGCGACAAATGGCCACGGTGAGCTTTAGTGAAGGTCTAATTAATTTATCTAGCCGGCGTATCTAGCCGAAGATCGTGGGTTCGAATCCCGCTACTGACACTGATTTTTTTATCTCAACTAAAAACCTTAATTAATTGAAAGTTTTAAACAATATTTAATTACCCTTGATTTGTAAATGTGTAATACACTATTTAGTTTTGCGAGGGCATAAGGGAAAATTTAGATTAAAAATGGATTATTAGACAGATACATATATAAATTATGTTACATTAATATACGTTGGCTTATTTCGAAGGTAAGACAACATTGTCCATATATCATGAAAGACATCATTTCGGGACTATTCACTAACCAATCAATAAATGTAAATGTTATATAAGACCACGTAAGCGGTTATGTTATTATATTAGGATATACAATATCAAAAATATATGTAAAAAAATTAATAGTAGCAATGGTTATCGCTTAGAGGGTCCAGGCCGTTACCTTTCGTAAAGAATCGGAGAAGTATCTAACAAAGTTAAAGTTAATTAATAACAATTAAGGAATATTTATTGAATTCGTTCCTTGAATTGCCCGAATTATTAACTGTAACGAGATGGATTAATAATATGAAACTAATATCCTTCCTTTCAAAATATAGTCATCGCCTTGATATACCGTCGAATAAATAAATAAAAAAATAATAAATAATAAAAAAAGGATTATTTTCGTATTTAAATTCGTGTAGTGTTTACCTCTACCCGGAGTTAGATCAAGTAAATTAATATTTGTTTTTTTGTCCTTTCTGATTTTCCTGGTCCGCTTATCCTAGCTGTTTTAGTCTGGAGCCTGTTCGTTTTTCATGAAAGGTGAATCTGAGTTCATCGAAAGACTGCCAAATTCCTAATTTAAAAATTAATTACTCAATTAATTAGACACAATTTTTTCGAAATGAAAAATTTGTTGACACAGGCGGGATTCGAACCAAGACTTTCGTTTCGGCTAAATATGTTTGTAGTATGGTAGTAGTAGTATCGTCACGTCAAGTGGTAGAGCAGCGGCTTATTTAGCCGAAAGTCGTGGGTTCGAATCCCGCCTGTGATACAAATTTTTCATTTCGAAAAAATTGTGTATAATTAATTGAGTAATTATATCATTAAGGAAAAGCTGATAAAAATAAGCAAAAATTAATTTCACTAGTTCCGTGGTCCGTTTGAACAATTAATATCTTACAATTAATTAAGGTTTTCAGTTCAGATAAAAAAGTCAATGGCACGAGCGGGATTCGAACCCACGATCTTCGGCTAGATACGCCGCTGCTCTACCACTTGAGCTATCGTGACCTCGATCTACTCGGACACTAACTTTCCATCTCAACCACACCTTTTGAATTTTCCCTCCTTTTTGCCATTTTTCAAATTCAAAAGGTGTGGTTGAGATGGGAGGTTGGTGTCCGAGTGGATGGAGGTGGACATGAATAGCTCGAGTGGTAGAGCAGCGGCGTATCTAGCCGAAGATCGTGGGTTCGAATCCCGCTCGTGCCATTGACTTTTTTATCTCAACTGAAAACCTTAATTAATTGTAAGATTAAAAATTAATTTCACTAGGTTTCGTATCCGCTTGACCAATTAATATCTAGCCGAAGGTCGTGGGTTCGAATCCCGCTCGTGACACTGACTTTTTTTATCTCAACTAAAAACATTAATTAAAAATTAATACTTTGAAAACGATCAACATTGGCTAGTTGTGCATATTTGACCGTGTCGGGTGCCCGTGCTTTTAATTGATATTTGCTTGCACATTCTTTAAATTATTCGGCACCAACTATCATAATCTGTGACGAAACGCGTCCGACAAAATATAGAGGGTTGTGAAACCAAAACGATCAGTATTAAAGAACTCATACAAAATAATCTTGTTTAACAACGGATTAATATTGAATTCTTTTTTATCTCGTTAATTGCCCAACATTCAAGTAGAAAGGTAATATTTTTATTAAATTCCTTCAAGCAAATAAAAAAACCTCGTTTGAACGCAAATGAGCTGATTTTATTCTATGATTGTCGACACGTGCGCGATAACGAAATAAAATTGAAAAGCGACAATTCAAACAGACTAAGCAGTTCTAAAAAAGTTGACAAAAGAAATTATAAAAATTGACCAAGTCGACAAAGGGGATTCTCCTTGGAAAGTAAAAGAAGGTCGTAAATATCATTCCAACCCCAGTGTGGAACCCGTCGCGGCTGGGGTTGTTACGGGCCAAGGGGGTCGGGGATGACGGCCTTAGCCAATCAGGACACGCGTTACATAATTGACTACGCCCATCCTCCCAGTCAACAGATTCACCCTTCACAGGTTTAAAGAATTCATGACAATGACCGCGAAACGTTCATCTCCTTAGGGAAGAGACTCCTCCTCGACCTTTAGGCGATTATTTTATCACGCATTTTTCTTTTCTTTTTTTGATTAGTATGCATATTTTTACCATCGGGAAGAAATAAAACTTTTCATACCCTATTAAAAAGGTGTACAAGATACCCTGTGTATGTGCGTTCAATATCGGAGAAAATGTTGGAACTAATCGATTTTCTTTTTCTTTTTTTTCAGCCAGTTTACCCAAGTGTGGCGGCTGTCACGAGATAATCTTGGATAGGTTTATTCTTAAGGTCCTCGAAAGGACTTGGCACGCGCGCTGCTTAAAGTGTGCGGAGTGCGGCGCCCAACTTTCGGACAAGTGCTTCGCCAGGAACGGGATGGTTTTCTGCAAGGACGACTTTTTTAAGTGAGCATCTCGTTTTCATCCAACCTCGAGAAGGGGCATAGTTGGCAGTAGAAGTTTACAAGTATCGAACACTATCCTTTAGTATCAATGTAAAATTCTTTCTCCAATTTCTGTTTCTCTGATTTGACGTCGATTTTTTTAAATCTCTTGCCCTATGCCGAGGAAGGTGTTCGATATTTTCTACTTTTTTACGAGGTTCGGAACAGCAAAGGTCATATCAACCCTCGGATGTCGTTGCTTTTGAAAAAATAAATAATCAAAATCCTATTTGTAAGTCGGGTTCGACTGCAGGGCCGCTGGGTTCGAACCAGAGACATTTAACTTACAGTGATGACCTACTGACAAGCTAGGTTGTTGAATATAAGAGAAAATGTAATACTTTCCATCTAAAATAAACTTTTTGCATAACAATAAACCGACCCGTTTATTGTAAATAAGACCCGCAAATAAGGGAAACAGTTTTGTCATAAGGTTTTCTATTTTTCTGCCGGCAGGAGGTATGGGACGAAGTGCGCAGGTTGTGAGCTTGGCATCCCCCCGACGCAGGTCGTTCGACGCGCTCAGGACTACGTGTATCATCTCCAGTGTTTCTCTTGTGTCCTCTGCGGCCGACAGTTGAACACCGGTAAAATGTACATTTATCGCTTAGGTTTTATATTCTCGCTAAAACGCTTTTTTTTCAGGAGATGAATTTTATTTAATGGAAGACAGAAAATTGGTATGTAAGCCAGACTACGAAGCAGCCAAATCCAAAGGTATTCTTGCTATGATATATTTGTGGAGATTATGTTTTGTAGAAAATAATTCGAATGGAAGGGGGATTCAGTTGGGATAGAGAGTAATAACAAATTGGTGTAATTGGCGTAATTCAAATTAATAATATTTTCTTGAGTATGCGGGGTAGTGAACTTGAAGTACCTTGCTTGACTGAACCCAATCCTTTTGGCCTGTCTATACTCGCTGTTTTAGTTTGTCAAACACGTTCGTCATCTTCGCTGGTTGTTAGTGTCGCTGGTTCGTCGCCTCGCAGACGCAAAAAGGAAATCTCGGAATATAAAGTCAAATTAGATCTTGGCAAACTGTGTTTGGATAGCATTGAAAAATGAGCTTTATTATTAACAAGCTGACAAAAAAACGCAATAATCTCGATTCTCTGTACCTCTGTTTTGACCAGGTCTTCAAAACTTATAAAAACTGAAGGTAGGGAAATGACCCAAAGCAACAGACAGACGAAAATCACGAGTATAGGCGGATCAAAATGATTTGGCATTCTGTTAATTAATCGACTTGCCCAGAATAAATTCATAATAATATTTTTAATGTGGAATTTCAATAAGAAGCAAATCGTAAAGTAATTTTTGTTACGTGTTTTGTTTTTGAGAGGCGGAGTGAACGCTACAGCGTTTTAAGTTCGCTTCGCACGCTCACTTCTATCACTACTCTCCCCAGAGGTTAATGAATCTCCTCGTATTCTTTGATCAATCTAAATTAACGGGAGTCTAATGAATAAAAAAACATATATGACTATACAATATATTTTGATAATATAAAAGGAATAGTTCCGTAACAAAGAAAAGTTAAAAAAAAAATAATGAAAAGGCAACACTTGCAAGCTTCAAAAATTAACATAAAATATTGGTGGCAAAAGGTATTTTTAAACATAAAAAAGGACAAAAAAATAATGTTTTCCTTTGAGTCACTGTCCTCCACCGAAACACAAATAAGAGAAATTTCTACTCTCCTGGAAGACGTGCTGCGTAGTCCTGACTCCAATTTCGGGTGGTGTTGTAAGTGAAAGAAAAAATGCCTCGTTCTGATATTTCCAAAAGATTTGTTGTCAACCCTCGGCTGGCCAGCGCTGAACCTCTCGTCCGATCATCCTTATCGGAAGGGGGGTTATCTCTGATTGCGCCTTAAATATTCCTGGGCCGGCCATTGCTTATTTACAAACTACCTTCGGGTGTCGAGAACGACGATTTGTTTCAGAATATTTTGAAAACTGAAATATTTATGTTACCAAAAAGAATGAGATTCATTTATACTCTATCAAATATTCTCACAGTTTAAATACCTCTCTTAAAGCTTGAAGTTTCTATTTCTACCTATAGTTAATGAAAATTATGAATACATATAAAGTACAATTTTGTATCATGAACGTTTTCTTCCTAATCGTTTGTTTTGTTGGTCGGCGGATGTCTGGGTGTCGACGAATTTTCTAAAGAGTGAGCTGCACAACAGTTTGATTTCAGAAATGACCGATGGTGTTGCAGAAGGGAGCTGTATAGAAGGAGAACAGCCAAATAAGAGGCCGAGGACGACGATAACGGCCAAGCAGCTGGAGACACTCAAGATGGCCTACAACACGAGTCCCAAGCCCGCTCGGCACGTCAGAGAACAGCTCAGCCAGGACACAGGCCTGGACATGCGGGTTGTCCAGGTCTGGTTTCAAAACAGGTACCTTCTACGCCGGAAATCAATTGATGGACAAAATATTAAATGTAAATTTGTACTTTATATTTGTAGAAGGGCGAAAGAAAAAAGGCTAAAAAAGGACGCTGGGAGAACGAAATGGTCGCAATACTTCAGGATGCGAGGGGGCTCCTCTCCCAGGGGCGACACAAAGGAGGAACAGATCAAAGTCGATCTCGACTCGTCCAATTTTAGCCACTCCGCCCACGGTACGTACAAAAAAATCATTTGATGAACCACAGAGCTTTTTTATAAGCTATCTTTCCTTTTTTCCATTCTTAAGAACTGTTGTCTACGTTCTGCAACTCTTGAAGGACTCGCATTTATGATTGCGTACCAGATTCGAAGAAGTTGCTGGAAGTGTAACCCATTCGAGAAGATTCTTCTTTCAGTTATATCGCAGATAACTAAGGAAATGACTATTTTAAATAAAACCGATTTAATAAGAAGTACGCCAATGTTGCAATTATTAGTGTCATCGAACGCGGCATCGTAGTACCATTAATTAGAAGGGCAACAATGTGTTGTCAGATTTTTAAAGTACAGTCTTATGTTCTTCACCTCTTTCGTGAAATTTGACAATCCTATAAACATAGAGGTCCGCGGTGGGACGAACAGTTGTTAGCAATTTGATTAATTAAGTGAACATATGATGTTTGTTGATCGACCTGCAGATAATCTATGTGGAGTTTCAATCTTCATGGAGGTCATTAGTTAGGTGAAGAAAGAAGAAGACTAATTGTTGGGTTCACCAAGCTTTCGGCAACTTATAGTACCATCATCAGGGCCTATTTATTAAAAATTAAAAAATAAATAATATACAGTTAACAATTAACAAAATAAAATAATGTACATACTTTCTCAAGAGTGCAGAAAACGATTAACATGGTAATACTATTGTAAAAATGTCTTGGGCTTAAGGTTATGATGATGGCACTGTAAGTTGCCGAAAGCTTGGTGAACCCAACAATTAGTCTTCTTCTTTCTTCACCTGTCTAATGACCTCCATGAAGACTGAAACTCCACATAAGTGAACATATTTTATTAGGTACTTCTAATAAAAAAAATGATAAAACGCTTTATGACTAGGTGGCCCACAACAAGGGAATTTTCGATCAAACTGCTGACTACATACAATCGATTTTACGTTAATCATTTTAACTGTTTTATCAAGGGTTGAACAAGACAGTAGATATTGTCAATGCTACTAAAGTTTGTCAAATTAATAAATAGGTTACCTATCAAATCTTTTTCATTAGGTTGGACTGTTTGGATTGTCGTTAATATAGTGAATTTACACGTACGATGTTTTGATATGTTTTGGACTAAGAAAATATATGATAGAAAATAGCTGGGTATTCGCGCTAAGGATTTGTGCTTGTTAGTGATTAATACCGATCAATTGATTATTTGCCAATAAAATGACAATAAAAAGGCAGAGTTAGTATAATTATTATCTGTTTAAAGTGCCTTCGGGGAAGCAATTTTATCCTACTTTGACTATCTTTTTAACTCTTCTTTTGTCAATCTAACTAGTTTCTTAGTTCTTATTCTTTTGAGAACATTTCCATTACATGCAACTCACGTGGTAACAAAACCAAACATTGCGAACTTTTGTGTTAAAAAGCCAGAGATAAAGGCCAACGGCAAGGTAAAACTTAGTTCCTTCGTTGAGCTTTCGATTTTATACTCTTTCAACGTAACTTTAAAATCACAATATCAGAAAAACAACTCGCATATATTAAGATATTATTTATAATTTTATATTAAAATCAGATATTTTTATTATATAATAATTAAGATATTCAAGTTACTAGTTTTTTAATATTGTAAATGTATATTTTTATTTGTTTAACTTTGTAGGTAATCCATTACAGTTCGTGGTCCGATTCACCAATTAACATTTTTTCTATTAATTAATATTTATGAAAGGTATTGGTTGAGATAGAAAAAGTCAGCGTCGCGAGCGGGATTCGAACCCACGACCTTCGGCTAAATACGCCGCTACTTTACCACTTGGGATATTGACCTCTCGATTCTGAAGTGGTAGCGGCGTATTTAGTCGAAGGTCGTGGGTTCGAATCCCGCTCGTGACGCTGACTTTTTTTATCTCAACCAGTACCTTGTAGATAGTATAGAATCGTTTTAGAGTTTTGATTAAGGGGTTTGATTATTCAACGAAGTTCGATGAAGGAACTGAGATTTTTTCTTTTTGATAGTCCTCATCCGTAATTTTTAACTATATTAATCAATAATTGAAATATTGACGACTGACACTAATTATAATTTCAGTATTAGAAGTATCGATCACTTTTTCACCTACGAACATTCTGGATCAAGATCAAGGTATCGTCTTGAAGAAGAAGAAAGCTAATCGCTAATGCCAAGCTTTTGACCTATTTTAAGGTCATCATCAGGGCATAACAATCTTAAATATGTCTACTGATTGGCATATTTCAGTTTTTTTATGGGCGATATCAAATTTGCCAAGGAGTTCTGATGATGACCTTAAAATAGGTCGAAAGCTTGGCATTAGCAGCTAATTTGCGTTCTTTTTCTTCAACACCTTGATCCAGAGTGTTCGTAACTAATTATAATGGAGAGAAGAAATTGACCCCGGTGATAGTGATGAATTCCGAATCGGGCAATACGGCGAATAACCATATTATTTATAACATATTTTACAATACACCAAATGGTTCTGTGATTCACTTTCTGTTTTGGATAAGTTTGTTTCATTGATCCTTAGTGTTGTAATTTTTCTTATCGCCTTCTTATAGCATTATTAGAAATTCGACTCCATCTAATAGAAAGATTTTATTTGAAATAATTTTTTGACCAACCCTCTTGTCGCAATAAAACAGTACACATCGGGCATGATTAAGGAAAGTGGTAGGGTGGGATCGTTGACTCATACGATCATAAGTCACGAGTGGCCCTTTAAAGGCTATCATCAAAGGGCATCACGTTCATTCCTGCGATCCATCTGGTGGCGATGCACGGCAACGGGCGCTTCACTAATCTCTACACGATCCGTATACTGTCTAGTGTCAGCTGTGTCCATTATTTATCCCGGCGATACACGCCTCGGGTGACTTGCCTTCATTAAGCTAATAGCCGTGTTATAGCGAAACTTATCGTTAAACATTCTTCTTCCACTTTTTGCCTAATCAATGGTTTTTTAATAGAAATTAGGCGACGCAACATAATTTTCTTTTCTTACCCGGCAAATCAGACGTCTAACCTGCAAGGGCGTTGAAGAATGGGGTTAAGTACTCTCAAATTTGGTATTATTTTTGTCTTATTGTGTAACAAGGTTTAAAAAATGTTGTTCTAGCCTCAAGACTGTCAACTGCAGTAATCTTATTAATTCAAATGTAATAAAATCATATTCTGAAGCCTTGGTGGGGATGAACTTGTATCATAAATTTACCAGCAAGATCTAATCGATTTATCCACATCAGAATGTATTACAATTTTATGAATTTTGACAAAAAGGACTTTAAGACGAAAAAAAATCTTATTTTGTTCACAAGCCTGTTGTAAAAAAATAGCCCTTGTAGGAACCAATAAAACCATAGGAACTTCCTATTTAGCCAATATACATAAATTATATATAATTAAGTTATGTAGCACGTTGGCCATTGTCAAACGTTTTCACATAAAATTTGTTTTCGCGTCATCTATATTTACCTGGTTACACATTCGGTTATATTTCTGTACTTTCCAGTTGAACTTGAAAATGTGTTATTTCTACAGCTTTGATAATGAAAGGATTACCTATCAAACATCTCTGATCATTTTACCGAAAGGTCATTGAGACCCCTACTGATCAGTGATCAATTAGACGGTAATGAAGAAGAACTGTAAAACACCCCCCCCCCCTTACAATAGCACTGTATTTTGAACTTCGGCAACCTTTCCGATTGGATGCAGCCGAAGATGAAATCAGTTATGTTCGTGTGATTAACGTCCTGTTGTCCGATGTAAACACCAGAACAGTTGTAGGCGACATATGGCCGTTTTAAAGGGGCATCCCGTGACCTCGACACAATCGCCGCCTGGTAGCATCTATCACCTGGTCTTATCTTCACGCATCGGCGAGTCCTGTGCCATCGCGTTTGCCCAATGATTAAAAACCACTTTTTTTTGTTGTTGACAGATTTGGAGAGTAACGATAGCTATGGTACGTTAGGAGGGATAGATCAAGAAGGAGGAAGCAGTCCGACGAGGTATCAGGGCGGTTCTCCTCATCATTATATGGCTTCTCCGATCTATCGAGGGCAGCATCCGCCTCACGACACGTTCAGCGCAATAGGTACCTGTAGCTTTAATTGAAAATCGCTTGTTTTCGATATCAAAAATTGGATTTTTATTTAAATTGAAAAATTTATTATCAATATTCATTTCTACCACCATCTGCAAATAGCTTTGGAGGGTGAACCGTCTCGAACCCTGTAAGATAACGTGATTTTACATTTTACAGTTACGATAATCAAATTAAATGTCCATTTCGACTACGAGAATCATTAGGAAAACGTAATAATATATTTATGGTATAATGTCTTAAAAACACTAGTATTAGTGAACCTGCTTGTGATGGTGTTAATGGACATATGTTGTCAAATCAACTCAGGCTCATTTACTCAAAAGGACGAAACACGTTGCAATAAATGACTAAGGTGAAGAATAGTACATCTTTTCCGCATGTGTAAAATTTCAAAAAATACTAATAATAAAAATTTCAAAAAAAATTCATAAGCGTCTAAATTTAAAACTGTTGTACTACGAGGGTTATTACGGCTAAGTAAAATTCAATTTCGGATCAACTGACCGTCGCCTTATTAGTTTTTGTTTATGCTCGACTGATCCTCAGGAAGCAGATCTGTACGTAGTCATTTCGTGTTGAAAGAATGGACTATGAGGCGAAAATACCTTCACAGCTAAAATTATTCCGTTAACGGAAATAATTGTTTATTAGTAAAAAACAAATAATAAATAATTATTGAAAAATCGTGAGATGCGGTCTGGTGTGATGTAGGTTTCGGAAAAATATTTTCTTTATCGTGCCAACGTTTCGATCTTTATAATTAATTAAGGTTTTTAGTTGAGATAAAAAAGTCAATGGCACGAGCGGGATTCGAACCCACGATCTTCGGCTTGATACGCCGCTGCTCTAGCACTTGTCACGATAGCTCAAGTGCTAAAGCAGCGGCGTATCAAGCCGAAGATCGTGGGTTCGAATCCCGCTCGTGCCATTGACTTTTTTATCTCAACTAAAAACCTTAATTAATTATAATATATTAATTAGTCAAGCGGACCACGAAATTAGTGAATTTAATGGTTTCGATCTTTATTGAGATCATCTTTAGGGCCTGGGATTTACAAACATTGTTTAAATTTAACAAAAACATGTAAGCTGTAGAAAAAAGTGAATTTATACAATGCAAAAAAAATTTTTTTTTTGCGTACGCAGAAAACAAACAATTTGAGTGAGTAGAAATACTTTGATTGAATATAAAAAAATATTTTTTTGCATTGCATAAATTCACTTTTTTCCACCATCTTACATGTTTTTATTAAATTTAAACAATGTTTGTAAATCCCTGGCCCTGAAGATGATCTCAATAAAGATCGAAACGTTGGCACGATAAATAAAATGTTTTTCTGAAACCCTACATCACACCAGACTGCATCTCAAGATTTCTGAATAAATATCGACTACGGTCACTAATCACCACACATAATAAATAAAGGGGGAAGGGATAACAAAAAATCAAAAGTAAATATAAAGTTGATTGCAGGTGATCAAATGAAAGTCGATAGTCTTCATTTATTCTGCACTCTATTAACGGGCAGTACATCAAGCAATCGAAATTTTTTTAATAGCTATAAATAAACAGATTTTCTGTATTTGGACCAGCTTATGATTGATGAAAATTATTTCAGGACAAAGTGTCGGTCCTTCCGATATGAGCGATGGGAGCAGTACACACGGATACCCAGATTTTCCACCGAGCCCGGACTCTTGGCTGGGGGACAACCCGCACCGCTACTGAGCCCGCCGATGAAGGAAAGAAAACCCGCATCGACAGATTATTAATTTGTCTGTTTTTCACTTGTTTTTACCAAAGAGAACAAAGAAACGCCTTCTACGCGTAAATCAATAGCCTAATTTGAAGTATACACTTTAACTGTTTGGCTTTATTTTGTTACATAATTTGAGCTTGTTGAATTTCTTTCTAGTCGTTTGAAACCAAAGATTTTCCGTCTAGATGTAAATGTGTAAATAGTTCGAAGAGTCCGATTGTCGCTTTTTGTCTGGTATTTAGCCTGAACTGAGAAATGTGTTGACATTTTTATGTATATGTAATTAGTACCTCTTAGACAAATGAAGCATTTGGCCACGAGGATGAAACGTGCAATTGTTGTAATTCAATGCTCTGCGGATTGATGACAACGGAATAATCGGATGTATAATTTAAAATAATCTATATTGAGTTTATATCGCTCTTAAGTTTAAGCTAGTCAATCCTCTTGTGTATATAATTGATGTTTCAAAACTAAAACATTTTAAATATTTACAAATAGCATTGTGGAAACAACATTTCTTGTCAACCAGTCAATTACAATGAAAAAATCGATTGCCGGAGGGTACAGGATGAACTCCAAAATATATGGTCAGTGGGTACAGTAGACAAAACTTAAATTTGATTTTTGTACGATTCCTGTCAGTGTTTCTATTGTAACCGTTTTCGAAAATAACAGGTTTGAAAAACGCAAAACACGGCACACGTTTAAAATGTCGATTAATGTAACAAATCCTTACGTTGAATTAAAGTTTTATTATCAAAAGGTTATGTTTTTTATTTTACAACTCACTTTTTTACATAGCAATTCCATGTCTAACTGAGCAGGTTTTTCGATTTGTAAACAAATAAGTTGCACCTTAGTAGACTCGTACCCCATCCCTAAAAGGTCCAGGACTTGGTCGGCTCACGAGTCCTGCATAAATCTCTTGGACTTGTTCACAAACCTCAAGATTTTGGACCGTTTTATCTCGGGGAGTGATTTGGTGATGTCCGCTCCTTCAAAGATTTCAAATCTGGACCTAGCATACCTATCACACTCTGTGAGGAGGTGTCTTCTCAGTGCAGTGGCCCGTCCTATCAGCCTCCTAATTCCCTTCGTTGAGTTAGAGAATAGCCATTTCGATTCTGCTGGTTTCATCACCTTAACAAACTCTTTCGATTGCCTGTGTCCGGGGGATAGCTTCCACTCCTTAAGGAATTGTTTCATACCCCAGTTTTTAATACTCTCTTTCGCTGTGCTCATAGAGTGAGGTAATACCGGTTGTGGCCCGACAAACGCAGTATTTCTTCGGCCAGACTATCCGCCTCTTCATTGCCATGGGTGTCTTTTATGTGCTGGTATCCAAATAAGGGTTACCTTGTTCTCAAACCTGGAAGAGATCTTATTGATAAGATCTACATTTTCCTCCACCCAGTTCCGTACATACATCAACCGATTTGCACACCAATTCATGCACCGTTAAAACTTTAAGGTCTTTGCCCACTAGAACGTATCATACTAGGACCGTAACCGTACCGATACATGCAAACAAATATTCTTTACATCATTTAGTATTAGAAAATGCCCACTACACCGTTCCATAACCAGCCAACACCATAGCGTGCCATGAACGTTCAGTCTACAATCGGCTGCCGAGAATATTTTGCAGGTGTCGGCCCGCTCCCTGTATGACATGTGACCATTGTGACCATCCTGTTCCACACAAGTTCTTTGCATTTGACGAAGAGATCTGTGTTTGTGTTCCATTGTATTGTGAGTGTTTGCGTCGTAATAAAAATGGAGGATGAACAACTAATAGAATAGTTGTTGTTACTCGATTTCGTAGAGATTCGTGATCCAGTAGCGTCTAGTGTTTTTTTCCCTCTTCCTCGACCAAAATAATGGAAATCATGGACAATTCTCGTATTGATAATTTTCTAATAGCCATACTTTTTTAACAAAATTCACTCCTCACGCGAAAACAAAAGTTCACAAACGACGCGTTTTTAAAAAAGAAATGTATGACAGCGAAAGCAGGCTACGCAACGTTTTTACATACGCGTATAGAACGCGGTTCATCCGTTGCAGTGGGCATAGTAGTGACCGGAGCGGTTTTTTTTTTTTTTTTTTTTTACTGTACGTAGCCGCAGTCGGATGTAGTCGGTTCCTGTGTGACACCAACCTAAAATGGTTAGGGATGGTTAGGGATGGTAATGTTATGCGAAGTTGGCCGTATACGGACGTTCAAATTCGGACCTAGTCTGTTACAGTATGAGACCAGCCTTTAACTTCCAGGAAAGAAGGACGTTGCTTTCCGCGTTTAAAAAGGCAAGATCTTCGAACTTAAGGGCTGCATTATTAGAAAATATTCTTCATACTGAAGGACTAGAAATCGATGTGGGACACTTCATTGGATGGGAAAAAATGGAGCTGACTCAGAACAGCCAACACGCGGTAACCCCGAAGAAATCCAAAAACTGCAGGCAGAGCTGTCCTACAAATGATCCGTTGGATCGTTTCTTTGAAGACATCTGTGTGGGAACACTAATCAGACAACTCGACGGAATTTGACAAGATTTGTCGTGCCTAATTATTTTCTGACCGTCAGATGCAATTTCTGGTCGTATGAGGCCGACTATTTAGATACCAAAGTCCCATAAATTTTTTTAAAATATCTATCTAAAAACTGTGTTTTTCCTAATACCAATTTAAGTATGTTTTGGAATGTTTCTGGATATTAACATTTGCTCTATAAATACTTTAACTCTGATGTATTCGATATTTGTACAACCGTAAATATGTTTTGCATTGTTGAAATTTCGTTGCTGAAATTTTATAAAACCATCTAATTATTTAAATGAATGTTTCTCTTTCAGTTGATGCATGAAAAGAAAATTCTCCGGGAAGGCCTAGTGTAGGAATTTGTATTTTTATTTTATTAGTAATTTGGAGATCATGAGATGCGGTCTGGTGTGGTGTAGGTTTAGAAAAACATTTTCTTTATCATGCCAACGTTTCGATCTTTATTGAGATCATCTTCAGGGCCTGGGATTTAGAAACATTGTTTAAATTATACAAATATAGTACATAAGAGATATGGCTATGAATTTATAAATGATGTTAACAATATAGAAATTTTAGGATTAATCAAATATTTGTACTCACTCGAAGCGTGTTTTCCATAGAAATGTGTTACTAATGGGTCTCAACACGACACACAACATTTTTGTTTTGAAGATGTCAAAAAGAAAATGTTTTTCTAAACCTACACCACACCAGACCGCATCTCACGATCTCTAAATTATCATTACTTGACGGCCGCTAAATATTACATTTTTATTTTAAAAATGAAAAAATGACATTATGTTGGAATACGCTAATATTAGAGTTGATGATGGGTTTTGGTCTGCGTGTCGGTGAACTCACAGTGCACAGGGTCACTTACTGGGTCTGTCTTCCATCTATCTGATGAATTGAATCTTCCTCATTGAAGATGGCGCAATGCCGAAACTTTTTTGCATAACTCAAACAACCCGCGAGTGGAGACAGACCCAGAAAGTGGTCCAGTGCCGGTTCACATGAAACGCTTATCTTGTTGTGTTTTGCATTAAAAGTAAAAAATGAAATATATATTTTTATGTTTGTTATTGCAGACCTTTAACAGCCATTGATGTACGTACTGAATTGTTTGCTGATCGTGTGAATTCCATAAAAGGAAGGACATTATTATAATTTTGGGAGATTTTAACGCATTGGTAGTGAAGATGATTCCGAAGTGAAGATTTTTAGTAACAGTTTTTTCTTTTCCAAGAAAATCATGCGACATAAAACTAAATTCTCAAGGAAAAATGTTGCTTGAAACGACGCCTTGACGCTGTAAGTTTGTATTGGTAAAACGGCTTCAAATTCTTTAGGTGTACATACCATTCTTTCGTCAAAAGGATGGACAAACCATTTGGGATGAATTCTGTCAGAGATCCGGAGGGTGCTGATTTTTCACTGTGACTGTGAAAAAATGTGGTTCGAGATTTTTCAATATGAATCCAATGCTTTCTGAAAAATGCAAAGCTCAATTTGGCGATTTGTGTTTTTCTATTCAGATTGTCGAAGACATCCACTTAAATAATTTTTTGGAGTTTGATCGAGATCGGTAAGAATGAGGTTGAGAAGGAAACCAAAACAATTCACTTCGTATCCTGACATTTCTATTGACTCCACTGAGTCTATATTGACTTTTCTTCAGAGGAGAAAATAATCCTGTTTTTTATTGTCGTCTATAAGAACTCCAATATTGTTTATCTTCTTGACAAAATAATAAATCTCCAGGTCTTGATTTTTTTTTTTTTTTTGATTTACGCTGGCATATTAACCATGAAGTTTTTTATTTTCATTTTACTGTCGAGCGTGATCGGCAGACCAGGGCCAGGTCCCCGCACCACTCATTCAGCTCCATCATCTTCTCATCTTCTAAATTTTCATGGTTGAAGATAATCAAAAAGAGACGTTTATCGACTTTAGAAATCCATAGATTATGTTGAAAGCTGATGGATTGTTGCTTATAGGACAGATTCTAAGTTTATTGGTTTGGAAATGTTTGGGACTTTGCTCAGATTTTTTAGCAGTTTGTCTCTTTCATTTTCATATTCTGGACATTCCAAAATTATGTGGGAAGGATTTGAAGGGCAATCGCAAGTGGGACAGTTCGGAGACGATGCCAAACCGATTCTCTTCTTATAGCTACCCCATAGGCCATGATTTGTCTTCAGTCTAAAAATAGTAGAATAGAACTCCTTTGACATTCCTTCTGGGCTATCGCCTTCCGAAAACCATGGTTTTTTCTTGAGCTCAGGGAACAGTGACCTGTAATAATTGCCAACATTTGATGCGTTGTATTTTTCTTGCCACAGATTTCTACAAAACTTTTCCAAAAAGTTTTTCCCGTCATCTTTAGGAATTTTAATGTCAAGGGTTGGACCTGATGTTGCAGCCTCCTTTGCAAGTGAGTCCACTGTTTCATTTTGCCGGCATGAATTATTGCATAAATCTTATGAATTCTTTAAATCAATTACGCCTAAATGGCAACACTTCTGTTGAATCTTCAGATGGTTCTTGAATCTGAAGATATACCCAAGCAATGGTCGAATGTTGTACTAATGCTACTTCATAAAAAAGGGAAAAAAAACCATCCATAAAATTGTGGAAGAACGATTAATAATTGCCTACAACAGGATTGATAAACTTAATTTAATATTTTATGACATCTTTCACAAAAATAATTTTAAGTTCATTGTGGAATATGCGATTATATAAGTAAAAATCAATTTAGTGATAGAATAAATAGTTAGTTAAATTTCAATTTATCACAAAATGATTTTCCAGTGTTTTGCTGAATTTTCTTTCAAACTATAATAATTACATAATTTTTATTAAAACTTTGAAAAATGGCAAAAAGGAGGGAAAATTCAAAGGGTGGGGTTGAGATGGGAAGTTAGTGTCCGAGTCGATCGAAGTCACAGATCGCTCAAGTGGTAGAGCAGCGGCGTACCTAGCCGAAGATCGTGGGTTCGAATCCCGCTCGTGACACTGGCTTTTTTATCTCTACTAAAAACATTAATTAATTCAAAGCTATTAACCGGTCAAGCGGACCACGAAAACTAGTGAATTTATTAAAACTATTGAATTTCTGATCTCGTTTATTTTGGTTTACATTAGAATAAGTATGTTGTAATTAATTTAACGATAAAAATACATCCATATAGTTTAAAATAAACAAAATGTCCGGGTTTTTTAGACTATTTTTGTTTTTTAAATAAGATCTTTTATTTCAAATTATGTTTACAAATTGTAATGATGATTGGCTGATATCACCTTCTTGTTCATATAATTTTTTCATGTAATAAAAATTTCTATTCTATAACCCATTAGTAGAGGAGTAAAACAGCACTGCCTGATGGACTCAGAGCAATAGGCTCTTTAGTCATCTCAGCAATAAATCTACTGGCTAAACTTTTTTTATTGCTCTGTGTGTTTATCATTATTCATTCTAGGTTGAAACTTCGGGCATTGTAATTTCTAGCACACTCCACGTATGACTTATTCAAGATGTGAGCTGGTCGTCTTGCAGAACGGATTATTTGACGCTGCCATTCCGGATAATGTTGTTTTAGTGTGTGAGCCTTCGCACTTTTTTGGCGATCTTATCAAAGTAGGTCATCTCCGGTTTGGCTGTCCCTGATGTCTTAAAAAAAGTATGACGAGGCAAAATAGTCCGATAGAAAAAAATGTTCATACCGGATTTACCAATTATTTGATCGAATTGCCTTCGACGTTTTTCGTATCTTGCTGTGCATGCGTGTCTACGTCTGCAATGATGGAGTGTAATGTCTCTGCAGAAACGTAATCAGCACTCGTTTCGTCCGAAACGGATCTGGTTTACATGCGATTCGCATTGTCGATTTTCGGTATTGAGAATGGGATTTGGAAAATAATAGAATACATATACATAAAATTATGGCAAAGGATGCCAAGGCTGCAGCTGTTTGGCGTCGGCCTCAACAGGTGGCGCAACCGGCTCCAAACAAGTCAAAGTCAACAGTTGAACACATGATAGGAATCAGTTGATTACCAAGCCTCATCTCGATTACACACGCTCAACCCGGTTTCTTAATTTCATATTTTTTCCCCTTCGAACCTTTCCGAGGTCCCACTCGCCATCCACAACACGACTCCTCGTCAGCGGAATTTGTGTCTTAAGCGTGATTGCTCGTAGTCCACCGTCATTTAGCAATCTCGACCGAAGATGACCGAAGAAGAGATGTCCAAATGCGTCGAGCGGATCTGCACCGAGGTCGGAGCGGGTGCCAAAATCATGGAAGAATTCCACAATTTGTACAGAGACAGACTGACCAAGGACGGACGAGGAGAAATTAAAGAAGTGAGTATTTTGTAATCGATGTGGGAATGCTTAAAAATAATATCAGAAATAAAATTAAAAAGAAGAAAAGAAAAAATTGGATCAGAGGGACGAGTCCTTACTGCGCTGGGGGGCCAAGGCTGTTAAATGGGCCGCTGCCCTATTTGGACCTCATTAATTAATCGATTCAGATTGAAAAATTTAGCCTAGGCTTTTAAAATAGTTATTACGAACGTATTCATTCCGTATCATCTACTATTTGAGTTCTTACGGTCTCTAAAGTCGATTCCGAAGACCCTCGTCCTACATTTCGTCAGCTGACACTAAAACTTTCTTCTGCCACATGGTCGGTTATGCGTCCTTCTTGTGCAAGACGTAAAAAAAAAATAAGTCAAATCATAATTTAACATGCTTGCGATCGGAAGGCGCGTTGTTTAAGACTCGTGAGAACTCTCATTCGGTTTATAACGTTTTCAATTTAACGTGATTCATTTTATAAAGAAGGGAAAACGAATTTCAAAATTGTAAAAAAAAAATACATCAGTGAAATAATACTAGAGATGTATTTGTTTGACTACAGGTCGCACTTTTCAACTAATATCTGTAAACTATAAAGATTATTTTCACTCGAAAAAAATTCTCTGATATCTTGTTAAAAATAAAATAGGAAGTTATTATGACTAGCGATTTTATTTCTAAAGCAAAACTAACTTTCAACTATTTAAAATTCTTTGAAGTAACTTTACAAACAGATATGAGAATATGTGAATTTGGCCGTTACGAAAGTTTTAAATTAGTTTAAATTAATCGAACTCTTTTAGTAACTAATTGACACGATAATAATTCACCTTCATTCATTCGCCTTAACTATTTAAAGATAATTGGACTTCTGACTAGGTCGTCCCAACGTTATCATCGCATGTTTGTGTACAAGGTTTAGCATGAAGTACGTTCTGTGTTTTAGTGTTGTCATCTGTGATATACACTGCTTCCTACCTTTTTGCCGTTTCTGCGAAATAAAAGAAGAAACGGCAAGGCACTACCTCACAGAGTGTGATAGGTATGCTAGGTACAGATTTGAAATCTTTGAAGGAGCGGACATCACCAAATCACTCCCCGAGATAAAATGGTCCAAAATCTTGGGGTTGTGACCAAGTCCAAGAGATTTATGCAGGACACGTGAGCCGATCAAGTCCCAGACCTTTTAGGGATGGGGTAAGAGTCTACCCAGGCATTTAACCCCTCGGGTCTTGGTCGCCCACCCTGCGTAATATACTGCTTGCAGAACTTGCTCACTTGCTTCAGCGGCACAGTATAAGAACGCTATCACACCGTTGGATTGATTATTGTCATAAATACGCGAACGAAACAGCGGGAACTTGCTGTTCTCTTCTTCCTACTACTATAAATTTATATGGCGTATAAAAATAATCCAATTAACATTGTCGTTGATCTTAGCCATTTGCTCAATCTTTGGTGGTGGCTGACGGAAGGCTATTATATAGCAAATTTTGACTTTTACAAAAACGATCAACTTTTTCCTTATACAAAGTAAGCCATGGTGGGTGTGGCAAAAGTTCGATTCTTTTCAGTGATACGTCAGAAGGTGTTTGGCCGAACTTGTATTGTTCGGAACACATCTTTACAGTTAACCACGTGACAGTTTCGCGTAGAATTTTTCTAATGGTTCATAAAATATCCATAACGAACAAACTCGTGATCTACAACTTCTTTGTAGTCCCCAAAAACGCAGAGCAGCAGGTAACAGGATTTTGCCAGTAAACCACCTTTTTATCACAGGTGGCAATCCTTTGATAAAATCGCACAACACATGGGCTGTGGCAAAAATTTTCACAAGTTACTACTCTCGGCGGATTTTGCTAATGGGTCAGTTTCGGCAGGATCAATTTATTCTTTTTCTTACCTTGTCCTCATGTCTTATGGATGTCGACTAAGGACGTCTTTCGATACTCTTGGCAAGTATGCGAGTATTTATAGCTGTATTCTTCAGCTCGTTGAACTTCATCAACATTTATTTTGATATTAGTATTTAAAAGAAAGAAAAAACTCCCTTATATAATATGGGCCACAAAAAATGTGCACAAGTACCGATAAGAATGGCGTGATTACCCGATATTTTGGGTCCTTCGAAAATATACTGTATGCAAGATCTTCATAACCAATTTTCGGCTTGATCTACTTTCACCACAGATTTATCTTAATAATCGTAGCTTAAAAATCGTAATAGCAATGTTGGATTGAAGCCATTGGCTCGATGTAAAAGATTGTATAAATTTTCCTTGGAATTGACAAAATGAGTACTTTTCTTAACTTAAAAACGTAGAATTTGTCTTATACGATTCCAAAATTTAACCAAATTTATTGTAGTACTATAGAAATCCACATTGAATTTTTTTCTTATCCTACTGCTACAAATTAACGAAGTAATTAATAATTATATCCGAGATAATTACCCTATCGTCTTAGTAGAATAATTATTAAAACTATCTATCTCTTTACTACGAAACCTAGAAATAAGATTTCCTCTTCTGTCCTTCTTTGGAATATGAACAACTCAAAAGCTAAAATATTTAAGTGCATGCAAACTTTGGTATTGCATATACGGGGAAATTGATTGTAATAACTAATATCTTCACTAGTTTTCGTGGTCACCTTGACCAAGTAATATCTTACAATTAATTAAGGTTTTTAGTTGAGATAAAAAAGTCAATGGCAAGAGCGGGATTCGAACCCACGATCTTCGGCTAGATACGCCGCTGCTCTTGTGCTATCGTGACCACTCGGACACTAACTTCCCATCTCCACCCCACCTTTTGAATTTTCCCTCCTTTTTGCATTTTTCTCCCTTAATTAATTGAAAAATAACTAATAATATTATTCAGAAAATCTATTAAGTACTAAATTGTATATATTTTGGTTCATATATATATATATTTTTTTTTTTCAAAAAGCACTTTATTTCAAGAAAGTAAGTATATCAGTGATAGAATTTTTCTAACAAGGGGAGGGATTTGCAGAAGTGGGAGCATCTTGTTTAACGAAATCTTTTGTTGGTGGTACTCCTAACAGAGGGACGACCAGGTTGGCGGGTCATGGACTTGGGCTAAATTTTTTTTTGTGATTCTGCATTTCAAAATATCGGACACATATCTACCACTCCTTGCGAATAGGCCTTGATTTCGCACAAAAGGTTTTCGACAGTTGGAATATTCCGTATTTTAATATTTTTATATCGACTTTCTGCTTGCTCAAATCACCTATGAGAATATATCATTTTAAAGCATTTTTTATGTAGATTGTAACAAAAATATAGTAAAAGTATCACCCCGAAGGTTTGTTTTATAACGAGGGTTCGGAACAGCAGAGGTCATATCAACCCTAGGTGTTATTTTTTTATAAAAAGCCCATTTGTAAGTATATCGGATTCGAACCCGGGACCTTTACCGTACACAGATGAACGTCGTGTCAACGCCTTAACCGTTGCGGACACCGAAACCCCAAACTAATATGAAATTTCGTTCTAGCACTTCTCGAGACCCTTAAATATAAATTTTGGTTTGAGTCTCCACTTTTCCAATAACAACGTGTTTATTATAAATAGACATTCACATAAGGGCATTCTTAATAAATCGACTTAATCGGGTCACTGAAGCTTTTTCAACATCTAATTTTAGTCACAATTAATTGAGCATAAATAGTTATTTAGAGATTTAAAAAACTATTGTTTGGGTGTATCAATTTCATTGTTGGTTAATTTAACAACAAAATTGTTCCACGAACCAAAATATTTATTATTTAAAAAGATAAATCAACAAAATATTGATTTTTTGTATATTTTAATAAACATTCTGTAAGGAAAGTAGGTCAGAAAATGGTCAAAAGTTGGATTTGACCTCATTATCAGATTCGGGATTCTAGCGTTATAAAACTCTTAAAACCGACTTACGCGGAAGTCAGTGTAAATTAATTTTTCAACTGATAATTTCGACGACCAGAATCTGCCTGACTGGCATTCCTTGTGCAAACTTCTCATAAGCTAGTGGACCAATTTTCATGGTTGATAATTTGTTTTAAAGAAATTGTCACGTGCATTTTATAACTGTATCAGACATTAAAATCGGACTGCTATTTCTATTTAAAAAAAGAGATGAATTTCTGGCAAATATTTGTGCTATTTTTTGTATTTTCTGATAGAAATGTTTGATATATTTTAATGGAACATACGGCGTTAAAAGCTGCGTTTCTTTTCTTTCAAATGTCTGTTTGACGTTATAATAATTTTCGCCGGTTTTGAATTATAACAGTTTCAATGAGATTCTGATGACTTCTCAAAAATCGGGAAAATTTTAGGGGTCAAAAATCTTTAAGTTTAAATATTTTTTTCTTTTTTTTACGAGGGTTCGCAACAGCAGAGGTTATATCAACCCTCGGAGTGCCGGTGTTTTTTAAAAAAAAGCCCATTTGTAAGTATGTCGGTTCCGAATGCAGGGTTGCAGGATTCGAACCCGGGACCTTTACCTTACAGTGATCAGCGCCGCCTAAACCGTTGCGGCCACCGACGCCCCTTAAGTTTAAATTCAAATAAAAATTTATATTAAGGGTTCTCTAGAGGTGCTAAAACCAAAACTCAAGTTTCACGAAAAATTTATGGCCGTTTACTTGAACAACATTTGGTTTTTAGACATTTCTTAGTTATTGATAAACTTTGATAGCTTTTACTATATTTTTATTTCAGACTATATTTAAAAAAAACACTGTAAAATGATATATTCTCATAGTTGATTTGAGCAAGTAGAAAGGCGAAATAAAAATATTAAAATAGGGAAAATTTCAACTTAAAAAAAAAATTTTTTTTGCGAAGCCAGTGTCGATTTACAAAAATTGACGGATACAAGTCCGACAATTTGGAGTGTAGAATCACACGAAAAAAGTTTGATACAAATCCGTGACTCACCAACCTGGACATCCCCTGGTAAGTCAAAATATGTATACGTATTACA